AACTCCAAACAATCTTTCTACATAAAATTCAATTAAAATTTGAGACGATTAAAATTTATTTTTTTACATATTAAAATGCAAGCTAATTAATTTTTTTTTACATATTATTTTTTATTTTTTTATGTATTATTTTTTTATGTAATTAATTTTATTTTTTTATGTATTAAAATTTAATCAACTCAAATTTTAATACATAAAAAATAAATTTTAATTAACTTGAATCTAATTTTAATCGGTTCAAATTTTAATACAAAAAAAAATTAGAAAATCGAAGAGGTCTCATTAAAGATATGTCTATCTAGAGGGGGTGTGGATGAAGTTTTTTCTAAAATATATTATGGACAATTTAGTAAAATTACATTCTAATTAACACCTTTAATTTGAAAGGGGATGTCAATGAAGATTCATAAAATAAATGGAGCGTTCTTGAATATATGGTAAATTAGAAGGAGTGTGACTGAAATTTTTTCGATAAAAAATAAATTTTTTAGACAAGTCCATTTCTTGGAGTTTGAAACAACATTATTTCTATTCCCATTCCTTGAAATGTTGGTGTTTTGTCGAGGGTGCAACCGTCTAGGAATTGCTTGTGTTCTTTAGTTACCTGAAATGGAAAGCTAGTTAGTCTTATATTTTTGGGTTTATTTAGGCTAATTTAACTTACATAGAGTTACATTTTGAGGTCCTTTCTAAAATAATATGGAAGCTCAATCTTGATGAGTGATTATATATAAGCGACAGTTGTGTTTAATCATAAGTGTACATTATTACAAGTTTATACTTTCACCTTAGGATAAATCATAAGCTTGTAGTTGATAAAATACATTGAGGAATGCCTATTCAAACCCTATTTAGGTACACCAATGTAGCTGACAAATGAAAGTAGCGGAATGGTAGAAGAAATTGCTCAAACGATCCAGCCATGCCCTTGCTACTAATGGAACTCTTTTCGTCGAATGACAAACATTATTAAGTACAGATAAGGATATGCAAGGCCGACTGGCTCCACCTCTAGGTAAATGAGGCAACAGTACCATATTGAAATTGATCTATATTTATTATTTTTTATTTGAATAATTTATAATCATTGATTAAAAAAAATATAGTAATTTCTTATATAAAAAAGATACAAAAAAATCGTTTACTCAATATTGTATGTAATTGGAGCCTAGTAAGTACAATTTAAAGGTTCGTGGCTCCCCCTGATCTCCTGGCAACCCGTGCCAAGGCCCAAGGAGCTTTTTAAATTGCCCTCTCCCGTTTGCCTGATTAAGCGGAATGTATCTGATTAGAATAACTACAACTTCACTATAATATATTTATTGTTCAAACTTTATGTTCTCTTGTTCATATGAGGTGTCCCTATCTGTCCATCTTTTGCTCTCTCTCTCTCTCTCTCTCTCTCTCTCTCTCTCTCTCNTTGTTGTTGTTGCTCCGAAAAATAAATAAAGGAGACAATAGAGACTTTAGTCATGCAGGAGACCACATTAGAAGGGTCATGGATAAGTTGATCAAAGAGAAGTTCAAGCAATNTCTTATATAAAAAAGATACAAAAAAATCGTTTACTCAATACTGTATGTAATTGGAGCCTAGTAAGTACAATTTAAAGGTTCGTGGCTCCCCCTGATCTCCTGGCAACCCGTGCCAAGGCCCAAGGAGCTTTTTAAATTGCCCTCTCCCGTTTGCCTGATTAAGCGGAATGTATCTGATTAGAATAACTACAACTTCACTATAATATATTTATTGTTCAAACTTTATGTTCTCTTGTTCATATGAGGTGTCCCTATCTGTCCATCTTTTGCTCTCTCTCTCTCTCTCTCTCTCTCTCTCTCTCTCTCTCNACAAAAGAGTGGCACATACAAGTAAAGCAGTGGAAGGTTACCTGATTCACAAAAGAAGCAGATGGAAAAAACTTCTTTAATTGATCTGTTTGGCCTTCAAGATTGGCCAAAGGGCTATCGACAAAAACTGGAATCGTAGAATCCTCACAAACGGTGTCCTTATGACTAGGAATGGTCTCAAGAGGAAGATCCTGGTGAGAAGGTGAAATGTGACCTTCAAGAGGTAAATGAGGCATGTATTGACTCAAAAGAGTGGCAACCATTATGCTTACCATTNCTTTTCTCTCTATGCAACTCTTTCAGTTTGAGCTTTTATTCGTTTATGCTTCGTTTATTAAAATAAAAAAATAAAAGGATAAAAAGTTAAAAAGATGAAAAATTTGAGAGGTAGATAAAATATCATATTTTAGTGAGAAATGAAAAAAAGATAGATGAAAAAATATATGAATGAGTTTTCCTTCCAACTCATCAAAATCAATCCCTCTAAAATTGGAAGGAAAATGAATGAAAAGTTAATTATTTGTGTTAAAATATATTTTATTTGTTTATATATCCCTTGACATATATATATATATATATATATATATATATATATATATATATATATATTATGTATACATTAATTTCATATATAAATACAATGATAAAATATGTATTTANGAGAGCCACAATTGTAATTTCACTCTTCAAACGGGTTACTTTTCCTCTTATTTGTATTCATTTCGAGGAATTATAGATAGCAAAATTTTATAGAACTATAAATTGTATTTGAACCCTCTCAACTATATTCAGGGTATTATATTGTCTCCTTAACTATCACATTTTTCATATTGCTTTTTCAACTATTACGGTCTCATATTGCCCCTTTAACTATACTGTAATTTTTCCATGGTAGTTAAAGCTTAGATATGAGTGCTATATATACAGTGAAATAAGACTTATTAAGCAAAGNAATTTAAAATAAAAATATTAAAATATTAAAAAAAATATATTTTTTCCATCTCACCAGACACAAAAAAAAAAATTAATCATTTTTATTTTTTATTTGTCTAATCAAATACAAATTAATCTTGAAAGATAAAAAGTGTATTACTCTTATTTTCCATCCTTCTATCTGTCATCTTTCCTACCAGACCGAGCATTCGGTTTAGGTTGCAAATTAATTGTGTTGCAAGTGTTTTTATTTTGCTTAAAAATTCGATCGAAATTGAAACTTTCATGCGATCAAATAAAAACGTCCCTCATAACTTTTTTTCATAACTTCTACCAGTTATTGTGGAAATAATATTTTTTTTCAAAATTTTATGGATAAAATTGGCAAAAAAAAAATTTAATTTGATTAATAGTTGGATCCCGATCATTTTTAATATTTTTTATTATTTTTTTTGACAAAGCACTTATCATATATCAGTCCCTATTAAATTTATTATACATGACATGACATGATATATGAATGAGAGAAATAAAGAGAATATATATTAGACGGATCTCACTGTCTGTCCCTCTCCCTCTCCCTCTCCCTCCCGCACGCTTGATGTGCCNGTAGAATATGCTGCTTGTGTTGAGTGCTTGTCCACTAATGCTAAAATAAGTTAATTAGGTTTTATTGAGAGCAACCCCTAAGCTGTAACTAGAAAACAGCACCGTGTGCTGCCTGTTAGAATTCCCCACCAGAAAACTCTTAGATTCTATCTATTTATTTGTACAAATATCACCGAAAGCTCCAGTACTGAAGTAGTTTCCATCAACCCCCTACTAGTTTGGTTGTTTTGATAGGTTCTATTCTAATACGAAGATAGAAAAAGAGGAAAATGATTGGATTGGATTGGATTGTTTATTGATAGTAGACCGTCACTTCTAAATTTCCAAGCAAAACTCTAAAAGATGATAGACATGCACTTGTATTTATTGGTGGAAACCCATGTACATTTGTCTTCTCTTCTCTCCCTTACCCTTCTTAATTTTAATTTTAGAAATATTTTAATTTTATTTTATAATTTCATTGAATGATGTATAATTTTACAAGTAAATAAACAGGTCAATCAGGGTCGTTTTAAGTTGAATTAGAATCAATACGGTGGATAACGGCTAAAAAACCTCAATCGAACTGACTCAACAAGGCATAGACCGACTGTGTTTTGGTGGAAATGCTAATCTCACCAAAGCTGTTAAATTAGTCAACAACAATGACGGCTACCCGATCCATGGTCCATGTTGGGGTGTTGGCTGACGGGTCTGTTTAGCCCGCTTTGGCCCATATTGGTGGATCCCCAAGAATAAGATTTGTGCGTGAAATAGTATGGAACGGACACTTTCTTATTTGTTTCGTATGCATACGGGGCGGGCTGTGCAAAATAAAATGAAGAGAAAGAATTAGAAAATCGTACATAAAAAAGGTTAATTCGTCTACTACTGGTATTTCTGTGATAGGTGGAGGAGGAATGGTATTTCGTATTTGTATTGAAAAAAAGGAAAGTAAGAAAAATACGGAAAAAGCAGCGACTTCTCTTTTATCAATGACTGTCTGCCTCTGTGTCTGCCCTCCCTCCCTCTCTCTCTCTCTCTCTCTCTCTCTCTCACACTTACACCCATAGATAGATATACATACAGCTCTCGAGTCTCAAGTCTCAAGTCTCAACATTTTCATGTAAACGGGATCCACTTAGCCCACAAATTTCACACATTCAGATTCCCGAGACTTGCCATTAACACCAAAACACCTCTCACATCCGCAACTTACACTCAACTCCTATTTCTTCTTCCTTCCGCTTTCTCTTTCTTAATTACTTCTACTACTCGCTCTTCTTCTAGGGTTCTGCACCACCAAAATCATCTCAATTTCCGCCTTACATCTCTCTCTCAGATATATAAATCCACGCAAATCGACCTCATGTTGGTGTAGATTCTGAAGCAAAGCAATTTTTTTTTTTTTTTTTTTTGCCTTGGTTGTGGATTGGAATTGATTTGAAAGTATTATTTCAAGTTGTATGGAGCTGATTAATTTGTTTGGCATGAGAGATCTTGTTTGGGTTTCCAGAGCATCAAGTGGTATTAGGACAGCTTTGTACCTAAACTGTGAAGATCGCTCATCTCCTATGTGATGTTATTTAAGATTTCTTACGGACTTGGTCACAAATAGCTGTTACAGACATGCATTTCGCTAAGCTTGATGACTCTCCTATGTTTCGCAAACAGGTCAGCTCTCTCTCTCTCTCTCTCTCACACACACACACACACACACATGCCTAAGAGTTGGCCTTTGCTTTATAATCTTCCNTGACACACACACACACACACACACACATGCCTAAGAGTTGGCCTTTGCTTTATAATCTTCCATTTTAGCTTAATTTTTTTGGGGTGACCGAAAGACCGACAAAAGCTAAAAACAAAAAACAGAAAAAAAAAAAAGAAAAAAAAATTACTGGCCCCTTCCATTTATTCTCAAGTATAGGTAATTTTGGCGCATTTGGAAGATTTAGGACTTTATCAGGTTTTGTTGTACAATTCTGTTAATGGTTAAACGTTTCAATGGAAAGTAATTTAGGCAGGAATTTATCTGTTTTTTTGAGAATACACATTATTTTTTTATTTGGTAATGAGAAATGTCACCGGACCACACTGGACCCAATCGGATGCCTGCAATCGTCTTCAAACCATAGGTAAAACCGGGTAACACTGGCGAGGGTAGAATCCATTATGGCCGAGTTTACGCATCATTCCAGAGAGATAACTCCACACTGTCGGGCTACCCATGCGGGTTAAACAGCAAGAAACTTTGTTTAGAACATAGTTACATAGTCTGGCTTTCTGAATTCTATTTAAGTTATAACAGTACAGATACCTGTGAAAGTAATAGTATTAGTGGTGACTTAATGGCATTCTCCTTGTGAAAATCCTTTGGAAAATTTCAAAAGTCAATTGTGTTCGTGTTGAAGATTAATACCTAGTATTGAAAAACATTATTTTGACTTAATGATTTAGGGTGTCTAGCGAATTTTGGATCCTAACTCAGGTTGAAATGGCTTCTTTTCGATAAAAAAAAAAAATATTATGTTACCTTTGGGTTGATCGCCTTCAATTGCTAAGAAATGATAGGCATCTTAAGAGTTGTCTGAATCACTAATGTAACAGGGGAACTCTTATCATCTGTTTTTATGATTATCTAATTGTTAGCAGCAAATAGATTATATGNAATATTATGTTACCTTTGGGTTGATCGCCTTCAATTGCTAAGAAATGATAGGCATCTTAAGAGTTGTCTTAATCACTAATGTAACAGGGGAACTCTTATCATCTGTTTTTATGATTATCTAATTGTTAGCAGCAAATAGATTATATGAACATACATGGTAATTACTCTGGCTATTTTAATCTGCTACCACTGCTGACTCATCTTTGCTGCGAAATGTCCTTCGTCAATTTGTTCTTCTAAATTTTTTTTTTCTTCCAATTAATTCGTGCCAGCATTACACCACAGTCAACGTTGATTTGAGTGAATATCCATCCCTATTTTGCTGACCTGGTATACAAAAAACTTCAAATATCANTTATTCGTGCCAGCATTACACCACAATCAACGTTGATTTGAGTGAATATCCATCCCTATTTTGCTGACATACAAAAAACTTCAAATATCATCTGTTGGGTACTTATATTAAAACATCTAACACAGACCAAATGTGCATAGTTTTGCATTTTGTTTGCTGTTTGCATATGNTAATTCGTGCCAGCATTACACCACAGTCAACGTTGATTTGAGTGAATATCCATCCCTATTTTGCTGACCTGGTATACAAAAAACTTCAAATATCATCTGTTGGGTACTTATATTAAAGCATCTAACACAGACCAAATGTGCATAGTTTTGCATTTTGTTTGCTGTTTGCATATGAGTGTTTTGAGGCCAATTTTAGTAGCCTTGTGTATGTTATGGGTACATGTACTCATTTTATCTGAACTTCAATTATGTTTTTATTTGGGTTGATGCTTATGAAGTTCTGATGTCTTCTCTGGTGGAATAGATACAGTGCTTGGAAGAAAGTGCTGAATCCTTGAGGGAGAGAAGTTTAAAGTTTTACAAAGGATGTCGGAAATACACGTGAGTGCAATACTATTATATTTCTGAAATTTGGCATGCTTTATTGATTCAAAACGGTTTATGTTTTTGTCTCATCAAGCTGTTTTCCTTAGATTTCCAATTTAATGCATACTGATTTATTTCATATTAATCAGGTGTTTCTGTGAGTAGGTTGATGATTTTTTCAGAACTGCTCCAAATTTTACATTATCTTTGGTTTTGAAAAGTAATTTAGTGTAAATATATTTTTACCACTAGAGGAAAATAGAAAACCAGCCAGATTACGAGAATCATCAAGTTTTCCACTGTCAATATCTGATGTGCATGTCATTCTTATGGATGCAGCTCTTAGCTAACAATTCCTACCATGTAGATATTGAATCTTTGGTGAATAATTTATCTTGGTGTTAGATGACCTATTTCTCTTTCTTGACAGAGCTTAGCTAATTGTCCTTCAAAGTAAAAACATAATTGAAATTTTCGGGTTATTGTCTTGGTTACTGTATATGGGCGTCTGGTAGAATAGGTTCAAAATTAGTCTTGAATGGATACTCATTCATTATGTTTTTGCTATATAAAATTAATGTTTGCTATCTTATGGACCCTTTGGCCGTGAAGGGCTTAAATTGTGTGTGTTCTTCAACTGGCAGTGAAGGGCTTGGGGAGGGATACGATGGAGACATCGCTTTTGCGAGTGCCCTAGAAACTTTCGGTGGAGGGCACAATGATCCCATTAGTGTTGCCTTTGGAGGTATGTCAAAAAGTTGGAATTTTATCTTGAATGATAATTGTAGTTATGATATTGATGTATGTTGATTCATCTGCTTCTAGTTCTGTATCACTGCCAGCCTTTGTACTTGGAATATTCTCTTTCTTTACTTCCATTGTTGCCTATGAATTTGTTTTTGTGAAGGCATATTTGAATCTATCTGGCCTTGTGCTTCATTGGGCATATGAAGTAACGGATTGGCTTATGTCCCGTAGTTTGGCAGGGTTATGAAGATAGTAATGTTAAGCCAGAGTCCAAATTTGAACTCTGTGCATAATGAAGGTGTTGAATTTTTTATTCGAATAGACAGCTATTTTTACGGGGTTGGAATAATTTTGAAAATTTATTGATTTTTTCAAGGTACATAGATTAAGTGAAAGTTTTTAAGGGCTAGCTTTGTTTTCAGACGCATTCATATAACAATGGGACTGCTTTGGGGTAGTTTATGGAAGTCTAGTACTTGATCTTTACTAGTTGATGCAGAATAGAAGTTATAAATCTTTTTTTGAAGTTTTATTTTTGTTTGGACTTAGTTGTTGACATGATAAGTGAAATTAATGCAGAAACTCATAGAGCTTTGCATCCATTGTCGATTTAAATGGCACAAGGATTTAATGACGTGGATACCGATTCTGGAACTTAGATCTTATGCATGCAAATTCGAACATTTATACATTTCTATAAGTCAATTTTTCTTGGGTGATAAAAGCTCTAATATATGTCCATATTAGGCATGTATTTTTGTCATATATATTTTCACTGAGAATTCATAGATAAGGAGTGCACCAGTNCTATAAGTCAATTTTTCTTGGGTGATAAAAGCTCTAATATATGTCCATATTAGGCTTGTATTTTTGTCATATATATTTTCACTGAGAATTCATAGATAAGGAGTGCACCAGTCTTAGTTTTCATGAATGTGAATCAGTTCTCTAAATGCCTGTTTATATGAATAATGTGATGTTGATGAAAGTTCTGCCATTTACTTAGGTCCTGTGATGACAAAATTTACCATTGCACTGAGGGAAATTGGGACATATAAAGAAGTTCTTCGGTCGCAGGTAGCATTTTTCCCCCTCATGATGATAGCATCAATATTTTTTTACGACCAGTAGTCAGTTCCCCACTTTTTTTGGTCAATATGTATTCATCAACTGCCCTTGCCAGAATATCAGTATAGTTAAGTGCTGTTTTCGTATGGGCTTCTTGATTAACTTTCTTCATAAGTTTTTTAGGCTTGCAGGTTGCAGCTGACTGAACCCCTAGATATGATTTCTTTTATAAACCTGAAATCTATATTTTTTGTGTGCATCCTATCCTTCTTTGGTTCTCTTCGCATGAATTGGCATCCGTGTGTGTGTCTAAACATCAATTCACGACTTTGAAGATCACAAATTTTGTCACTATGAACCTGTCTGCTTTCTTTTAGTAATATGGTAAGTTGATTTTACAATTTTACAGTCCCCTTCATTTTGATCGTGATGGCAACATATTTTGCTTTTTTTTTTTTGTCCATAAAATTAGTTGTGCTCAGGCTACCATCTCAAGTAAGGACGATATTTTGGGGCAATCTCCCATCTCATGAATTATAGTAATCTGGATTGGTTTCTCTTCTTTTTAGTTTTTTGCTATTATTCCTTTTTCTCTGTAAATAGAAAAAAGGAAATGTAAACAAGTGTACCGTCTTTTCAGATTCATTATGTGTCTCTCATGTTGATTTTGCCTGTTGTGTTTCTGTCTCATATTTTTCCATTGGCGATTCAGGTTGAGCACATGCTAAATGACCGTTTGCTGCAATTTGTCAATTACGATTTGCTTGATGTCAAGGTACTGTATATTGTTAATTTTTCTCCATCTGACATCTATGAGGTCAGGCAATACAACTTGGTTAAGCTATGGTAATGTGATATAAATATGAAAAATATTGAACCTTCAACGTGTGCTGAAAGGAACTTGTATGGATGTACTATGACATCCTGAGGTTTTGCTAATCAGAATCCAGTTGTCGGTATAGCTGCAGTTTTCAAGGGTCTGTATCTTTGGTATCAGTGGGATATAAAGTGCTGTTACGATTCATTTTTGGAATTGACTGGTCACTAATTTTCCACTTTGTTTACTAAATATAATACGGAATGCAATGGAAGCTATATAGTGGGTGGCAGACCACTTCATGGACATGATAGTTTCATCATATAGCTTATAACAGCAAAGACACATACTACTGGATGCTTCTAAGAAAATATAAAGACCCGCTTGTGTTTGTTCCATTTACACATCCTGGATGGTGCAGCAGCCTGTCCATGCAGTATACAATATCTTGCTTGCACGTCCTGATTTCATACAGCTCTTAGAAACTCTGGTTGATGGATATATTTAATGCTAGAGTTTTATCTGAATAGTAAGTTGGTTTCTTAGCATGGATCTTCTTGTTCACTGGCTAGCTTTGAGATATCTTATTGTGTGTGAAAGAGCCCAAGTTCTTTTTTTTTTTGGGGCAAGTTGAAAGAATCATTTCATGCACCGATAAATTATTGCCTCTCACTTCTCCTTGTCTAGGTCCCCCCCCTTTTTTTTCCTGACGCTTTTCGCTTGATAACATCCAATTATTGTTTAATACATACTTCAACTTATAAGCAATCTGTGTAGTTTTATTTTCCTTAACCAATATGTGTACCATAAATTATGCTCTAAGAGATCTTGTCCTGGTGCAGGAAGCAAGGAAGCGTTTTGATAAGGCTAGCCTTCTTTATGACCAGGTGCATGTTGCTTCTCAGAAAATTAGTCTTGCAGTTGCATACAGCATCATTCTGTTGCATTGAAGAATGAATTTCTCATTGTTATTGTTTTATCGTGTCTATATATCTTGGGGCAAACTAGAAATACACCGTCATTCCTGTAGGACCTTCTGCACTAATCATCTTCATGATAAGTGTAATGTAATGCATTCAAACTCCTAAAAATGGGGTTTTCTGTGTTGTTTAGCTTGAAACCTTCTCTTATGGTTGACTTACACTTAGATTCATCAAAAGTTTTACTTTGAACTGGTTTAGCTGGGAGTGAACTTAAACCAGACAGTTGAAATAAAAAGATTCTAATAAAAAATCTAGAGAAGGTTAGAAATATAACGACTTTAAGTTCTAAATCAATCTGAGTTTTGAAACATACCAATGATCTGAAATTTTGGATCCTAAGGACAAAAAGAAACGTGCCAGCTCATATTCACATTCAGAGGGCATTTAGGTAATCAGTTTTACGGAGATTAGATTTGACTAGTCTGTGGTCAGATAGTCAGGTATTAGGTGAGTCTCAAGGGTCTGAGGCATGTTTCTTGGAGCTTCAAGCCATACACTTCGAAAAGTCTACAAAATGAGGGGCTTATCATGAAACTTTCATGTCAAAACGCTGGACTTCGTGTAAGCATAAAACGTATTCTGGAGTATTAGCGTCAGAAAAACCCAAATCCTGCAAAACTGTTGATGCCCAAACTTCTCTGCTGAATTGGGACAAGCTTGGTATATTGACTTCTCTGTATCAGAAGATGGTAGTTGCATTAGAGATCAATTAGTTATTGCTATTTTTCAAGAGGAAACAAATTCCTTATTTTAACTTCAAGCAAGTTCAAAGTAGTCTACCTTTATGCAAACACAAACCTCAGAAGAATACTGGTGAGGAAGGTTCTCTAGTAGCTTGACTGGGTGTATATCTGGAGCTTTGAAGCCAGTAGCCACCAATTGTCAGCTTGGTTGGTATGTAGCCGCCCTTAAAACCGGAGGAGCCAGATTCAAGTCCCAATTGGGGATGATGGTCTGGTTTGCTTAAGTGGTGAAGTTCAGTTTTCTTGCTACCATTGTCAATCTCACCTGACTCCCATTGTTGTTTGAGTCTGCCCTCTTGAAATATTGTCTTGGATTGATTCCTGCATATTTTGGAGTTGTAGAGGATAATAGATTATTGTTTTGTGGAGGATGGAAGAATTTCCACTACGTATCAACTGGCAGACAGATTAGATCTCTGTCAGAGCCCTTCTGGAGAGATGTTCATTTGGAAGGAGAGGTGTAGGAGCCAGGAAGCCATGGAAAACATCCCCTGTGCTTAATGTGGTGCACTGAGAAGGAGCAGAATACGAGGGCATTTTAAGGGGTTGAGCTTGTAATACTTAACCTGAAGAGTTTGATGATTCAAATTTTTTTTTGGATTTATGGACATGCACTCCCTCTTTTCACACTTTGATTTTTTAAGGTCTATTTTCTGAAGATACACATATACTAGTACACACTGGGTGTCCTGGGTGTGTTCCCTCTTTTCTGAGGATCTAATGTATCTTTCAAAAAAAAACTGATAAAAACCTACAAAGACCTTTTATTTGACATTGGTTTCAAGATCCAAGAGTGATTTCATAGAAAAGTTTTTTAGACAGTAAGATGATGAATGTGATGATTGGATTCCTGCATGTGATGATGAATGTGNAGAAAAACTGATAAAAACCTACAAAGACCTTTTATTTGACATTGGTTTCAAGATCCAAGAGTGATTTCATAGAAAAGTTTTGTAGACAGTAAGATGATGAATGTGATGATTGGATTCCTGCATGTGATGATGAATGTGATGAAAAGTTTAATTCACACTGCAGGCTCGTGATAAATTTCTGTCGCTGAGGAAAGGCACAAAGAGTGATATAGCTACCATTTTAGAGGAGGTATGGCCAAATATTGAACCAGTAGTGATATAGCTACTTCATTATACTGCATATAATAAAAAAATGGTAAGAGTGAATTCTCAGATTCTAATATAGTTAGAAATTCCCAGGAGCTTCATAATGCAAGGTCAACATTTGAGCAAGCACGCTTTAATTTGGTGAGTCAATTTTCCAGTCTTGCAGACTTTACGTCTCCACAAAATGTCAGATTCAGAGAATAATTCATGCTATGGTTGGAATATAACATTTTTTTTTACTGATTTGGATGCGGTCCACCCAGGTAACTACCCTTTCTAATGTTGAAGCAAAAAAGAGATTTGAATTCTTGGAAGCAGTTAGTGGTACGATGGATGCTCATCTTCGCTACTTCAAACAGGTGATCATACTGTAGAACTTTTACTTTTTTGTACTACATTTCTTGTAAGCTTTCTAAGCCTCTGTTACATGTAGGGGTACGAGCTTTTGCATCAGATGGAGCCATATATCAATCAGGTCGGTCATTGCATCTGCTTCTAGTTCAATTGCAAGTGTAGTTTACCATTATGTTATTTTTAGCACGGTATTTTGGATCGCATTTAATCTCATTCTGTTACAGAGAAAACCCCATTCAGATTGTTAAACAACAATCTACTCAGAAAATTTAAGGTAAAGATAGGTTGTTAGAGAGGGTTTAATCTAAATATTTATACTTCAACACACCCCTCACACGCTGGCTATATTTTGTGACTAGCCCGTGGAAATCTTTTAATCATTAGGGTGGGGGCGAGATTCAAACACCGGACCCTTATTCTGATATCATGTTAAACAATCATCTACTCTAAAAATTTAAGCTTAAAGCTTAAGTTGTTAGAGAGGGTGTAACTTAATATTTATACTTCAACATTGATAACTGTGGATATTCACATTGAGAACTTTCTCAGATTGCCTCATGACAATGTGCAAAATTTTCACTTCAATTTACATGCCTTCTCACCGTGAATATGTCATGTCTCCTAGTATACGTCTACCATAGTCCTTATTCTGATATCATGTTAAACAATCATCTACTCTAAAAATTTAAGCTTAAAGCTTAAGTTGTTAGAGAGGGTGTAACTTAATATTTATACTTCAACATTGATAACTGTGGATATTCACATTGAGAACTTTCTCAGATTGCCTCATGACAATGTGCAAAATTTTCACTTCAATTTACATGCCTTCTCACCGTAAATATGTCATGTCTCCTAGTATACGTCTACCATAGTCCTTATTCTGATATCATGTTAAACAATCATCTACTCTAAAAATTTAAGCTTAAAGCTTAAGTTGTTAGAGAGGGTGTAACTTAATATTTATACTTCAACATTGATAACTGTGGATATTCACATTGAGAACTTTCTCAGATTGCCTCATGACAATGTGCAAAATTTTCACTTCAATTTATATGCCTTCTCACCGTAAATATGTCATGTCTCCTAGTATACGTCTACCATAGTTCTTATAAGACTTCATTAAAAGGAGTTGTTTTCTTGCATATCCGAACTTGGATGGCAACATTACATACATTGTTGGTGGAATGGAACTACTTATAACCCGGTCTGTCTAATTTTGGTCCAGGTAGAGCAGAATTGCAAAAACAATTTATTTGGCTCACCCAAAATGGCTAAAACAATTTCCATTAAGTTGATGAGTCTGGAATGCTTAAATATCTGAGCAAATTATTGTTATTTTTTTATTAGTTTGGAACTACTGAAATCCATGTCTGTTGTTTTGCAGGTCTTGACTTACGCTCAACAGTCAAGAGAAAGGTCCAACTATGAGCAGGCAGCACTTAGTGAAAGGATGCAAGAGTATAAGAGGCAGGTTGATCGGGAAAGCAGGTGGTCTTCAAATGGTTCTAATGGATCTCCTAATGGAGATGGCATACAGGCCATTGGCAGAAGTTCTCATAAAATGATAGAGGCAGTTATGCAATCTGCTGCTAAGGGAAAGGTAAAGAGATTATTCAAGTTGGACCTCTGGGTCATCATTTTCATATTCTTGGTCTGTTATCATTGTCGTAACTTTTTTTTTTGCTGTACTTTCCGCATAAAAACCCATCTAAAATATGGCAGTATTTCAGGTTCAAACTATTCGACAAGGCTATCTTTCAAAGCGCTCCTCAAACATGAGAGGTGATTGGAAAAGAAGGTTTTTTGTTCTTGATAGCAGAGGAATGTTGTACTACTATCGCAATCAAAGTAGCAAACCATCTGTGAGTAAATGATCTGTAAATAAGCAGGGATGTAAACATATTTAGTCCTTTCTAAGTTTTATTATATCCCTGGCATTTATCTTTATAATGGAATTTATTTTCTTTAGGGCTCTGGCAGTCAAGTTTCTGGTCAGAGGAATAGTTCTGAACTTGGTTCCGGACTGCTGAGCCGGTGGCTTTCTTCTCATTATCATGGTGGGGTACATGATGAAAAATCGGTTGCTCATCACACTGTGAACTTGTTGACATCAACAATAAAAGTTGACGCTGACCAGTCAGATTTGAGATTTTGCTTCAGGATTATTTCACCAACAAAGAACTACACTTTACAGGTAGCCTTACTGCAGCTTTCAATGTTAAGTTTTGACATCTGTGAATATCACATACAAACCATCTTCTTGGCAGATGGTTAGGCTGAGTAATGCACTGGATAACTTCTCATTGACTGTTGATTTTGCCTGGAATTGATGTTTCATATTTTGTTGTCGTTTCAGGCAGAGAGTGCTCTGGATCAAATGGATTGGATTGAGAAGATAACAGGGGTTATTGCTTCATTACTGAGTTCTCAGGCCCCTGAGAGGGTAATCTATAGGAATATATTAATAAGCATGTTGCCTTTGATCTTCATACTTGTACTGACTATTGCAACCGTTTTTTGTTCCAGTGCATGATTGCTAGTCCCAAGGGTAGTGGTCATCATCGATCTGCCAGTGAGAGTAGTTCTTTTGAAAGTTCTGATTTTGATCAGGCAGCAGTTGAAGAATTTACATCTGAGAGGGTTGCCTGTGCGCATCACGAACGTGCATTGAGAAGTTCACAACAGCAACGGCCTGGTGTAAAATGTGAAAAGCCGATTGATATGTTACGGAGAGTATGTGGAAATGATAAATGTGTTGATTGTGGTGCTCCTGAACCAGATTGGGCATCCTTAAATCTTGGAGTTCTTGTCTGCATAGAATGTTCTGGTGTTCATCGAAACCTCGGTGTGCACATATCAAAGGTAAATTTCATAATCTTGGCCACTTGCCTTTTTTAAGGGTACTTATGGATCTCATCAGTATCTTAGATGTGATTGCCTGTTGTATAAGTGTTCATTCATACTGCTTAGCAAAGCCCAAAAGGTTATAGTTTCCATTTATCGGTCGATGATTAAACAAATGTTCTGTGATGAAGAAGAAACTGATAACCATGAAATAAATATGCTAGATGTAGCCACATATTTGTCAATATAAGATAAAATAAATGGAAATTCAGATGTATTCTTAGATGAGATTGCGTCAATATTTAGTCAATTAGATTCACTGAAGAGGTCTATTGTGTTTTAATTATTATTTTCTGAATTTGGCAAAAAGAAAAAAAATTGTTTATTATGCAGGTTGTCATGGTTTTCTTTTGATGGATATACTAAAATAGTTTCTTGTCTACTTGTGGTTGACTTCTGTTGCAGGTCAGGTCCCTGACACTTGATGTTAAAGTGTGGGAGCCGTCTGTTATAAATTTGTTTCAGTCTTTGGGCAATACATTTGCTAACTCAGTCTGGGAGGAAGCATTGCAATCAAGAGGTGCCTTTCAGGTTGACATTGTCCCTACAGGGTAAATTATCTCCTCTATCAATATCCTTGTCTGGTTATATGAAAATTTGGGTATGATTTACTATCACACACACACACACACACACTTATTTTTTATGGGATGCTGCTAATATTTATTCATTATTCCAATACTGAAGCTTCTACAAGTCTGATAAACCGCAGCTGCTTTATACCAGCAAGCCTAGTCATGTTGACTCCATTTCAATAAAAGAGAAGTTCATTCATGCGAAGGTGCAACTTTTACTCTTTCCTTCTAGTCTTGGTCTGCTAATTTTCTTCCTTACTCAAAGATGTTTCATGGAGCTTCAAGTGGAGAACTTTGTTTGCTGAGCTCATTATGCTTTTTGCATTTCAGATTCCCAAAACATAATTGTATCAAATTCTTGAGATGTATGATGACACAATGGAAACATATGAGTGCAGAAAATTTAGTAACTGAGGCAGAAAAATCGTTGAGTATATTTTATGATATCAGTGGGTGCATGATCATTGTTAAAATGAATTTGTTATGAGGGGGTTTGCTAGATATCACTTCAGACTACGTTCACTTCTTAAACCTGAAAATATCTACATGCACTGCATTGGTTTGTTTGAGTACCTTTTGGAAAACATTGATAAGAGGTCCCAAGAATCCTCTTAATGATCAACAAATATATGTGATCCTTGTGGTGCTTTGCTAGCTATTTTGTAGGATTTTTTATTGCTAGTAGAATTTCTTTAGTTTTCTTTAGTTAAAGTTTAGATATTTCTCTTTCAGTAGAATTCTAGTTGTAAGCTCTATTTATAAAGCCTTCGAATATAAATAAAGCATCAAGAATTACATCTCCATCAACTAAATTGATACAAGGAGGTTTGGTTCGCTCGAACAAACCAGCAGGAGGTCCAAGATCCCTCGAAGCATCCTAACAAAAATAGGTCGCTGACGAAAGACCGATCCCTATGCTCTCCTCATTCATTAACCTATGATGCGTTCTCAGTCAGGAGCTCATAACAACTTGGTATCAAAGTCAGGCATGTTGGATCAAAGGCTCAAACAGATTAAGAAAGAGGTCAGAGCTTTGAGTGTAGGACAAAGTACGTTAAAGGAGGAATTGCAAAGAGAACTTCAGGCGGGCGAAGAACGAATAATGAGGCAAATGGATACTATGTTTCGATCAATGATTGGTATGGTGGATAGTCACTCTGAGCAAGTTAACAGTGGTAGAGGTTGGGTTTTTTCTAACAAAAACAAGGAAAAAAAGCATTTTCCTCTGGGGGGGATCTACTACGCCAAAGGTTACCAAATTGGACTTTCCTCGTTATGACGGAACCGAAGACCCGACGGGGTGGATTGCTTGTGTAGAGCAATTTTTTGAATTTCAATAGACAGAAGAAATAGATGAACTACTTATGGTTGGCTATCATCTCTATGGAGATGTCTAAATTTGGTACCAGAATTTCAAGGAAGAAGAGGAATACATAGATTAGGAGTGTTTAAAGGAGGAGCTACAATTGCGCTATGACCCTACCAAGTTTCAAAATTTCTATGGAGATCTCACAAAACTCAGGTAAACAAGAATGGTGCAGGATTGTGGCGGAATATGACAAATTAAGAAGTAGATCAGGGAAACTTACCACATCAAAGAATTGGAGGATTCATTAGTGGGTTGAAAGATTACCTACGGGTAGATGTTCAAGCAACTGACCCTATAACTATTTCAACCACTGGGGGTCTTGCATGGCTATATGAGTCAAGGTGCACTACGGAGCGGCGGTTTCAATATGCTGAACCAAAAGGGACTTCACTTTCTGGAGGAGGACCACCGCTGCCATCTCCATCCCTTGCACGACCAAAATCTATTGAAATTTGTCGTCTAACCCAGGAGGAGATGAAAGAATGGAGGGAGAAGGGATTATGCTTCAATTNACCTATTGAAATTTGTCGTCTAACCTAGGAGGAGATGAAAGAATGGAGGGAGAAGGGATTATGCTTCAATTGCGATGACAAATTTTTCCCGGGGCATAGATGCAAGAAGTTGTTTTTAATAGAGAGAATTTTTTGCCAAACTGAAGAAGATGAAGAGGAAGTAGAGGAGGCCATCCCAAGAAGAGATGAAGTGTCGCTAGAAATTAGCTTGCACGTTATCTCAGGGGCACATGCTCCATAAACGATGAGGGCCAATGGGAGGGTGTGCTTTCTTAGGTTGGTTCTCTTGGTGGATATGGGGAGCTCACACAATTTCTTAAAGCCATCCATGGCTAAGAAATTATAGGTCAAGCCAAGAAAAGAAAATTTCTGCGTCACTGTCGCCGATGGAGAAAAAATTATAGGGGAAAGGGTTTGCAAGGAGGTCCAAATCTGGGTGCAAGGAAAGACTTTCGTGGTTGATTTTTTCCTCCTCCCCATTGAAGGTTGTGATGCCGTTTTAGGCACTCTATGGCTTCAGCAATTAGAGCCAGTGATTTGGAAATTTAAGGAATTATGGATGATAGGGGTACAACTTGGGTTGGGCAACCTGATTTCAATCTCAAAAAATTAGGGCTTGGGTAAGGGTTTTTAATACTTGGGTTGGGTTTGGGTCAAAAAATTCCAACCCGAATTTAATTTGGGTTAGGTTCGGGTTAAGGTCTCGTGAACCCAAGTTCAAGCCGAACCCAACAAATTTTAAAAAAAAATTATATATATATAGATAAAGCACAGCATTGATTTTTTATTTTTGTTCTATCGTTCTCTTTGCCTCTCTCGTTCTCTCAGCCTCTNTAGGTTGGGCAACCCGATTTCAATCTCAAAAAATTAGGGCTTGGGTAAGGGTTTTTAATACTTGGGTTGGGTTTAGGTAAAAAAACTCCAACCCGAATTTAATTTGGGTTAGGTTCGGGTTAAGGTCTCGTGAACCCAAGTTCAAGCCGAACCCGACAAATTTTAAAAAAAAATTATATATATATATAGATAAAGCATCAACACTGATTTTTTATTTTTGTTCTATCGTTCTCTTTGCCTCTCTCGTTCTCTCAGCCTCTTTCGTTAAAAATTTGATTGAAGTTATTGGTTGTTAATTGAGGTGAATATTATATAATATATGTATTAGGTTTAGAACAAGTTTATTTTGAGCTCTACCCGAATTGAACCAGTAAAGTAACCCAAAATCAACCCGAAATCATCAACTCGAATTAAACTCAAACAGTACTCGGGTTGAGTTTTCCAACTCGAGGTAGGGTTAGAGTTAGGGTTAAGGTTGAAGANACAAGTTTATTTTGAGATCTACCCGAATTGAACCTGTAAAGTAACCCAAAATCAGCCCGAAATCATCAACTCGAATTAAACTCAAACAGTACTCGGGTTGAGTTTTCCAACTCGAGGTAGGGTTAGAGTTAGGGTTAATGTTGAAGATTATATACCTAGGGTTGGGCTAAGGTTGATTATCCAGTCCGTCCAACTCGTCCGAGTTGCACCCCTAATGGATGAGATTTTGGTGGAAGAGTAAGGCGGTAGAGCCGTAGGGAGAGAAGGGTTCTTAAGATAGATTTTCTGAAAAGCATTCATTGCCCAGAGATCTCTGAAAAAAGAAANATGTTGAAGATTATATACCTAGGGTTGGGCTAAGGTTGATTATCCAGTCCGTCCAACTCGTCCGAGTTACACCCCTAATGGATGAGATTTTGGTAGAAGAGTAAGGCGGTAGAGCCGTAGGGAGAGAAGGGTCCTTAAGATAGATTTTCTGAAAAGCATTCATTGCCCAGAGATCTCTGAAAAAAGAAAAGGACATATCTTCTTCAACTCACTTATACGTTATTGAGTCCAGATCTTAGCCAACGGATGAGCCAGCCAAACCTAGCATGCAAGCACTATTGGACAAATACAACAGACTATTTTTTGAACCCAAAGGATTACCCCCATAGAATTTCATTGAAGCCTGGCATAGGCCCAGTAAATGTACGACCTTGTTGTTATCCACATTACCAAAAAAATGAGGTTGAAAAGATTGTAATTGACCTACTCGCATCTAGGGTAATTAAGGATAGCACAAGCCCTTTACTCTTCTCTAGTGCTTTTGGTCAAAAAGCATGATGGTTCGTGGAGATTTTGCATTGACTATCGGGCTCTCAATCAATGAATCATCAAAGATAAGTTTCCCGTACCGATCATTGATGAGTTATTGGATGAGTTATATGACGCTTGTTTTTTCACCAAATTAGATCTTCGTTCCGGATACTACCTAATTTGGATGCGCCCCAAGGATGTGGAGAAGACGACTTTTCGCACTAACCTTGGACACTATGAGTTCCTTGTTATGCCTTTTGGGTTGACTAACACCCCATCCATTTTTCAATCCATTATGAATAAGGTATTTTAAGATTTTTTGAGAAAAGTTTGTATTGGTCTTTTTTGATGACANATTTTGCATTGACTATCGGGCTCTCAATCAATGAACCATCAAAGATAAGTTTCCCGTACCGATCATTGATGAGCTATTGGATGAGTTATATGGCGCTTGTTTTTTCACCAAATTAGATCTTCGTTCCGGATACTACCTAATTTGGATGCGCCCCAAGGATGTGGAGAAGACGACTTTTCGCACTAACCTTGGACACTATGAGTTCCTTGTCATGCCTTTTGGGTTGACTAACACCCCATCCATTTTTCAATCCATTATGAATAAGGTATTTTAAGATTTTTTGAGAAAAGTTTGTATTGGTCTTTTTTGATGACATTTTAATTTATAATCGAAATGAGAATGAACACTTGGAGCATGTTGGTAACATATTTCAAAAGTTGCTTGAACACCAATTTTTTATTAAGAGGGAGAAGTGTCAATTTGGGCACAATAAAGTTAATTACTTGGGGCATGTAATTTCATCAAAAGGGGTAGCGATGGATCCCGAGAAAATTGAAAGTTATGATGTCTTGGCCACAACCTATTAATTTGAAGGGGTTAAGAGGTTTTTTGGAACTCACAGGATATTACAGAAAATTTATTCAAGGATATGGGGAAATAGCAAGGCCGCTTACACAAATGCCCAAGAGAGATGCTTTCAAGTGGAGTCCACCAGCCGTAGAGTCATTTTAAAAACTCAAGAATGCCATGACACAAGGGCCAGTTTTAATTCTCCCAGATTTTTCCATATCTTTTGTAGTGGAGTGTGATGCATTAGGTACGGGCCTCAGAGCAGTCTTAATGTAACACAATAGACCTATTGCTTTCTTTAGCCAAGTCCTTAAGGGAAAAAACTTAAATCCTCTCAACTTATGAGAAGGAAATGTTGACATTAGTTAAAGCAGTACAAAAATGGCAGTCATATTTGTTAGGTTCCAAATTTATAGTACAGACAGATCAACAAAGTTTACAATACCTTTTAGGTCAAACAATTATCACAATAGCCCAGCAAAAA